TTATTTTTTCATTTTTAAAGCAGTTAAAATTGGTGTCTTATATAGAGTCCATAGGCATTTGGAAAGATTCTAGATGATAAAATTTTAAAAAGAGAAAAGTCTCTCTTTAAAAACGGTGATTATATAGAGTAATCTGAAAGTGAGTGAGGACAGTTGTAACAGTTCTTAATATTGTATATTACTATAAAAATTTAACATATAAAGGATTCTTAATATTATTCTAAATTAGAACCAGATTTATGAATTTTCAATAAGTTGTAACATTTTGATAATCATAACAAAAGACTAATTTTCTTTCTGGTTTTTCTGTCATACCTACTTTCTTTTCCTTTTTTGGGTAATGAATATTATATTGGGATTTTCAAGATCTCTAGAAAAAAGAAGAACAGGAGTACTTGTGGCACCTTAGAGACTAGGTCTCTAAGGTGCCACAAGTACTCCTGTTCTTCTTTTTGTCGGATACAGACTAACACGGCTGCTACTCTGAAAAAAAGATCTCTAGACAAGCTCTCACTGAGAATTAAGTGCAGAATAAATTAAGCCTTCCTCAGTTTTACTCACTAGGAAAAATTATTTTGGAACATTAAAACTTCAAGTTGACACACAATTCTGGGTTGCTATTACTACCACTTTGTAGTAATAGCAGACACAGAGACTTTTTCAAGAATCCATGTATGAGGATATCTGTAAATGTTAGATTTTTTTTAGCGGCTTATCACAAACTACACAAGTTGATAAAACAGATATTAGACTGAAACAAAAATTTAAAAAATCATTTAATCAGTATGTCCAGCAGTGAGTTATAAGTTACTTTGAACATTGGTTATACAGAACGGTTATTGTAAGGAAAGAAATTTATTTTATACAATTTCAAAATAAACTGACGCTTCTGAACAAGATTCTGTTTATGGATCTTTTCCTGAAGCACTTAATCATTGCTAACCAAGTGGAAATACTGCTCTGCCCATGTCCTCTGCTTTGAAGGACTTTAAACATTTTTATAAACAGCAAGGAAGTGTACTCTTACACACTGTATGCTACCCATTAGTGGGTGGAACCGGATCTTCCTCTGATATTCGAAGAAAAATGGCAATATGATCTCTCTGAACTTCAGCCAGTAAATGGAAGTAAAACCTGTGCTTTCTCTGAGGGTCCATCTAGGAATCCCTCCCAAAGTTATTGCCATTTAGTATAGTTAATAAGGTATATTTCTCATTCTGACAGGTGCTCCAGCCTTGACCAGAGATCCGTTCACACTGCCTCTGATGTAGCCATCTCAAAAGCTACTTTTGCCAAATGATTTGGGTTATACACATTTTCCAATTTGAATGGCAATGCAAACAGACTTCACAAAACTTGCACCAGGAATAGCTAGCCCTCCTTAGCTGTATCCTTTCTGAACAGGCATGTGAGGCAACTGATCAATAAGTAATACAAAACCCCCCACTTGTATTCAGCATTTTGACATTCAAGACTGGAATTCATTATTGAATGAATGAAAACTCCACTCTTACAAGATAAATTGAAGGAAAGATTGATTCTGTCAAGGATATAATTTTCATTGTCTCCTTGATAAGTATTTCAAGGATTAGATGCATTTGAATTTTCTTGTCTTATACTTAATACTCTGTTTTGATTCAGAGACACTATTGCCCAGCTACTTTTAGTTTATATAATAAATATCTTTCTCATTTCATCTAAATGTAATATGATGTGAAATTACAGTAACTCCTCACTTAACATTGTAGTTATGTTCCTGAAAAATGACTTTAAGCGAAACGATGTTAAGCGAATCCAATTTCCTCATAAGAATTAATGTAAATGGGGCGGGGGGAAGGCTAGGTTCCAGGGAATTTTTTTTTGCCAGACAAAAGGCATCATATACATTTTAAACATTTTTAAACAAGCAATTTAATACATGTACAGTATAAGTTTTAAACAATTTTAATCAAGCAATTTAATATAGGTATTAAACAGGTTGGCAGCCCCCCATCAGGTCCCCTACATCCCACCCAGTGCTTCCCGCCCGTCGGCAGACCCCGCGGATCAGCGCCTTCCCCCTGCTCCTCCCACCTCCTGCCCGCGGCAATCAGCTGTCTTGCGGCATTCAGGAGGCTGGGTGGAGGAGCGAGGACGCGGCACATGTTCTGCCCCCTCCCCTCAGCCTCCTGACCGCCAAAAAACTGCTCATTGCCACAGGCAGGAGGCATGGGAGGGAGGGGGGAGGCTGCGATATTTGGCCCAAGATTTTAATATGAATTTTATACTAATTTCTGTAAGTCTCACAAGAGGCGAGATAGCTTTATAGTAGTAAGACAATAAAACAATGGGAAGAGATCTCCATGAAGCAACTATGTCTATAAATTATTTTTTGGGGGGAAAATCCATTTTTTCTGATGTAAATGGAAATCCATATACCAAGGGATGAAATGGAGATGAGCTGTTTTAGATTTGCCAGATAAAAAAATTCAAGGGATGTGTTAGTTTGCCAAAACCTTTTCTTCATTCTAAATATCTTTTGTGGTGACTAGCTTCCAAATAAAAATGTAATAATACTTTTCACATGAAACTTTTTAATGACTTATGGAAAATAAAGTTCAGAAGGCAGTTTAGATCTTAAAAATGTGAAGAAAGGAAGAATAATCAATGATGTTTGAAGCACACAGACTTTTGCAGATGTTATGGCTAACACCCTGAAAAAACAGCCTAGGTTTTTAAGTTTGATGTCTTCACTGATCATAGCGAATGCACAGTAAATGTTAACGCAAGCAATAAATACTAAATTGACAACGGTTTATTATTGGGTCAACATCTTTTGAGCCTTTTGTAAAGGATGTAGTTAATTGATTAATATTCTGTTTTCTGTAAAGTGGGAAAATTGCTGATACTACTACATGGATTCTTACAATATTTACTTGTAAACCTCAGTGTAAAAAAAGATTTTAGTACTGAATGAGCACAATACTATGATGGCTGATGAGAATTACATTGTGTTTACTTCTTATAAAAGTATTGTAGCAAATCTTTTGCACAGATGTAGTAAACAGAATTTGTGGAATCCATTCTGGTAGCTGAGATGGTGCTTATGACTACTGGGGAAAGTTATTATTTTAAATATCCTTTTCTAAGCAGCCAAGTCATCATCTTGAAGGTTTGATTTGATGGAGGAACCATCTGATATTTTTTTTTATTGCTTTTTGTATTTTCCAGATGGAAATAAAGATCTGTGGAGGAACAATGAAAACCATGGTACTCTTGGTGTCTAGGCAACTATTACGATTATTTTGGTAGCCAAATTTTTGGCCAGATACTTATCTCAATAATTTTAAAATAAACTAATGAACCTGTGATAAAAGAACTGTTTTTGAAAGAGATGGGAAATGCACCTGCAAATGAGATGGAAATGGAGCCCTTGAGTCTTTTCATGTAGAACAAGGAAACATCATGAGAACTCAATAGAAGACATGTGAGATCTTTAGTAGACTTTCACTTTTGATCCAGACATTCAACTATTTTATGCTAATTTCCAATTTTTTCTGCTGGATACGGCTTTGACTACATTTGTTTTGGGAAGGCCATATTTTCTAAACAACAACAACTGTTGCTGACAGTGAGGATTTTGCACTAGACAGCTTAGTTGGTGGTCCAGGTAGTTTGTTTATCTGAGATGTGAATTATTTTAACAGAGACTGCTATTTTATGTGGTATCATTTATTCCGTAATTGGCCTTTTGTGATTGATCAATTTAGTCAAGATACAAATGAGCTCAGACAAGTTTTCCCCGGGCATTGGTCTCACCTTCCCTGTCAACAAACCCAATATTGCTAAAACTAACCTCCAGCCATAAGATAATGACAGAGAACTCATCCAATACTGCTCTTGGACTGATCAGCAAGTAATACTTTTGAAGTTAAATGAATCTCGCTGAATTCCCACACTACTCCCAGCCTCTGATGGCCAGGGAAATAAGAGACCAAACACATGCTTTCTTTCACAAGACAATATGACTTTGTTACCAGTTATGTTCAAGCATAATGTTATATTTATATTTTCAGAGCTCTAAAATTACTGGGTTTGATTCAGGTGGAGCATCAGATTATGCTAGGTCCCCAAATGGCTTGCAGATATCAAGCAAAACCCTAAAACTGGACTGTGCTGAGTGGGAAGGGGTGTGGCCAGAGGACACATTGCCTCTGGACATCCAATGGGTAGCTTCTGCTGGCATGGTTCCTCTGAGCCACCATCGTAACTCAAAACTGTCTTTCCTAACTGGTACCCCTGGGGGAGAGTGGTAGTGCAAATATCTGCCTCCCCCAGAAGTGAATCAAGTGAGTATATACCATTCTAGAATGGACTTCTGTCCAGTTGGGTCCTAATTTTGCTCCTATTGAAATCAATGGCAAACTCCCAGTGACTTCAATAGGAGCAGGCCTTTAAATGTCTGCAGTCTTGGTACATCAACTTTCTGAACAAGAAGAAATATTACCTTTTCAGAATGGTGTCTGACAATTTGGACATAATACCTGACATTTATTAGTGTGTACACAAGAGAATAAGTAACTCAACAGTTAGAGAATGTGTTGCATACACAGTCTGCAGAATAATGATTTTATGTATAGAGATAAAATGGAATATGCTACACCTATTGAACTCACTAATGAACTGAATTCAACTGCCAACAGTGGGATATGATTGTCTGCATTTTTGTCCAAACTTTATAATTTTTGTAATAAGAAATACTACATATTTTAACCAAGATATTCATTTCTGTACTTCTCCTTGGCTTCTGATAGAATTGAAATTTTGCAGATGTGCATAATTGGATATAGTACTATGCCAGACAAATTATCCAAAGTAGATTTGCAAAATCACAGGTATAAAAATTGAACTGATAACATTACAATTTAAAACTGATTTTTATGCTTAATAAACTTAATTAATATAATTCTAGCCACATGAATTTAAACCTTGGGCCATTATTATATAAGAGTGACACTTACCCTCTTCTGTTCTTTGATATATTCCAGCAATTCCTCTCTTGTTCTTTTCACAGCTTCTTCCACAGCCTTTTCACTTCGTTTCTGTTCTTCCATTATTGCTGCCTTAACAACTTCCTGTAACAGAAAAGTAAATCTGATAACTGTAAATTGTATACATGTACGTATTTATATTTCAAGTATTTCAGGGGCACAGGGAAAAGTCTCTCAGAATTCATCCCATTCTTTCTCCCAAAGAGTTGGTTAGCTGAGTGCACTCTTCCTACAATCATGGTTATCTCCAATATAAATATCTATACATATGCCTAACAATACATTCAATATTCTATCCCTACATTATGCAAAGGAGAGAGCTAGAACTAATCTAAAGCAGCATTTGTAGAAGTAAGTTTCTCACCTGTCAGCAAAAGGAAAGTATAATGAAGCAATTTTCAGGCATTAAATTTCAACAACAGGTAGGAGTACACTGCTTCCTACTGAGGTCAATTAGGGTATGGCTACATTGCAGTTAAACACCTTCATCTGGCCCATGTCAGCTGACTCAGGCTTGTGGGGCTCAGATTGCAGGGCTATAAAAATGCAGTGGAGACATTTGGGCTTGGGCTGAAGTCTGGGACCCAGAACTTAGAACTAGGGATGTTCTGACACAATCATGTGTATAAGACCAAAAATCAGGAACTAGTTTCCAAGCCCTGTGATGTGCTAGAGTATTCCAGAAGATTGCAAAGGAAGAAGTAGTAGAATGAAGTTGGATTTGGGGGAAAATTGTATGACCCTGGATCAACTCTGATACACCACTGCAAATGTACTACTGTGGATAAAGCCATGGGCAGCCTTTTCAAACACATCTTTCCTTTCTAATACATCTTCTGTGTACAGGTTACAGGCTTAGGCAGGAGTACATTAGCCCAAGCTTTCTCTCTCTTCACTCAAAACACACGGGTTACAACCCAACCCAATAGAGTCAACCATAAAATTTCTAATAGTGAAACTCAGTTGGACAGGAGTTCTGGTTAACAGCAGTTCAGGAGCACAAGGATGTACTGTACAGTACCTTATATGGAGAAGAAAGAAATGCTAACAAAGGAGTAATTTTGGATTTGTACTTTTTGACTTTATTACAAAACTATATAATAAGGTTCACTAGATGTAATGCTGACCTATGTTTTAGGATTTGGAACAAACTAAATATCTAGTACTGTGCATATGTTAAGCAACTGGCCAGACAAAGCTAGGATAAACTCACAGTATATTATCCACTGAACACAAGCATGTTATAAAAAGTTATGGACTCGGTTCAGCCAGATTTTAAGCAGTGTAAGGCCTGGTATAGGGCCCTGGAAGACGAAAGTCCATCATGAGGAGTGTGCATTGATCAGAAACAGCTTTACATGTCATCACAGCTCAAAAACTGGGTAGTGCACACTGTGAAAAGGAGGTCTTGGAAGACACAGGGCTCTCTCCATGAACTAAAGATACCCTCTCCTACGTCTTTCCTGGCAAAAACCCAAAGGAAAATGGCAACAGAAGTACCACATGTGCTCCTTAAGGTGAATTTCTACTTAGGCACAAGGGAGCTAGTTGGAGCAGGAAGGTGCAATTTGATCTCTAAGAACCACCTTGGTGAATCTGACCCTATATTTTGTACTTTACTCTAAAGAGGACCCAGTAATGTAAGGAGCAAACTATGTCACAAACTTCTTACAGAACATCCCTTACAAAAAGAGAATATAAAAATGAGTGTACTAACAAGAGAGCTGGTTGAAGATATTGCTTTTCCTGGGGAAAAGTTTTGACTTTTTTGAAAGAAGAAAAAAAACCAAACACCCCCGCCCCCCGCCCCCAAATAAAAACAAACAAACAAAAAACCCACACCAAAATCTTTGGGTTGAAAACCAAAAATTTTGATTCAGAAATGCCACTGCAGTACCTAATGAGAGCTGTAGTTTGGGTGCCTTATTCCTTCATTCTCTTCTATGGGCTAGCTTTCCTGGCCAGATTACATCTCCCATGAAGCACCTAAATAAAAGTCTGGATTTTCAAATCTGCTAAACACCCAGAAGCTCCCAATGAAGACAAAGGGAAATGCAAGTGCCTGCACTTTTGAAAAACATTAATTAGGTGCCTAAATATGAATTTAGGAGCCTTTTATGCATCTATTTTTGAAAATCTTGGCCAGTCTCTCTCTCTCTCTCTGCCCATGGACACAGACACAACAGAGTGAAAGTCAATGGGAGTTAGGCACCTACTGCTACTTCTTCCTTTGAAAATTTCCCCCATTATAATCCATGCAGTGCATTTGAAGACAAATGGAAAGGCAGAAGTGCAGAATTTCTAAGCGGAAGCTAAGAAGTCATTTCTGTACCTGAGACCTTGAAATTACCTCATCTTGTGAACAAAATTTCATATTAACTGCCATATAGACATTGTCCCTCTAGCTGCTCTGTTGAAATGTATTTGCCTTGAAATTCTGCTGGCAAATATAACAGTGAATTATTTAAAAGAATCTTATGGCAGAGGAAAAAATATGAAAAAATGTATCCTGAGGCACATGGCTTCATAGTGCCCGTTTATTTTAGGTTACTGGATAATGCATAGCAAGGGGCAGTGCTTGATTTTGGTAGAGAATCACAATCACTTAGTGTTGCTGAGGGCATGGATGCAAAAAAGTTAGGATAATATTTAATTTTGGGGGGACTTCCCAAGGCTGTTAAAGTAGCTACAGTAATGCTTTATATATAAGCATTATATTTTAAAGTAACTTCTAAAATAATCTGAGAAATTTGTTATTTTAAAATATAAACCTGAGGAGCAAACCAATTAGTTTTTCAGACTGAAAAGTGATGGATTATTTTCTGTTACTTCTCTTGCCATTCCTACTCTGATCATGAAGTCAGAACATTCATGGCATCCATTCAAGACAGATTCAATATGCATTGTGCAATTTGCATGCACAAGCAAAAATAATCTAGAAGTAAAGAACACATTTGTCACTTCTATCAGAAAAGAATCACGAATAGGTAACTAATTATTTTTTCAGATGAGGTTATCCATGGTTTCTGGACTCATGTCACAATGGATGTATTCACCTGGCTCTCAAATCAATTTAGGATTGCCTTGCAATTAGGCTTCATTTGCAGCTACAGACACAACACTTTAGCATGCCATCTACTAAGGGAAACTGACTCGGAGGATCCTAAGATCATTGACAGTTTCCCTTTTTGGCTGGCTCTATGTATAAAGAGCTAGATTCAAAGGCAAACTAACTATATTCTGTGTTTATAGTTTCAGCAAGTGCAGAAGTTCTTTACACACAGAGTTGGCTGAAAGGGAAACTGACTAGAATCACACCATTCTAGTCGTTTTCCCTTTGCGGCCAACTCACTGGATCACTGTTTCAGTTACTGTGGCTGGCAGGACCAAATATAAGTGCAATCTTAAATTACTGTGAGGGCTGCATTAATACCTCCAAGCAGCAGAGACTCTGGGAGAGACAAGCAGAGAAAGGCTGAGAGAGAAGAACTGTGAGGGCAGAAACAGTGGTGGTCCGAATGGTGATTCACACAATATTTTTGACTGAGTGACGATAAATGAAACAGTTTAAACTTACTAACTACAACATAAAATCATTACACAAGGGCTATACTCTACCCCTGAACTTGGCTATATTTTACCCTGAACATGGGAGGTCCACAGTAAACAGAGGCCTCTTATTTTGAAGACTAATTAAAAATGTAATTCAGCCTTCATCACAAAATGAGTTTGACACACCTGCAGTAACGAGTAATTTGTAGTAGACTTTTTTATAACCTCATATAAATGTAATGATAACGAAAGGTGCCAGATTGCGTGTGTTGGAGACAGAAGTTCTCTATTTAGCCACAAAACAGGCACAGTGTCACAGTAGTAGTGACAATATCCCCACACTATCTTGCCAGTGTGTCTCAACCCTGCTCTGGAAGGATCACCTAAAGGGATGATCGGGAAATTCAGGTATCTCTGATTCTCTTCTTTTAAGTATTGTAATTGGATTTAAGTATTGGAGAGATCTCTCGTCTGAATCCTCTATTCATTATAAAATCTCTGATACCATTCAAGATAGAAAAATACTCGTGGCTGATATGTTCAGAAAGCCATTCAAATAGGTCCCAATATAGAAAACCATTTAAAGCACATGCTTAACTTCATCCCTACTGAGGAAAGCACTGAGGGACATGCTTAAATCCCATCTTGACTTGAATGGGCTTTAAACATGTTTAAATGCCTCCCTGCATCAGGGCGATGGGACAATAATGGGAAACCACGGTTCTGAAAGTGATACACTACGACTCTTAAGTCAATTTGCTAAACTCACGTTGTATTTTAATCGAAAGACTAGAAAACCACTGAAGAGCCTAAAGTTAATTATTGTTTCACCACTCGTATTTTTTGTAATATAGAGTAAACATGCTATTGCAGCTAAACTGTTTATGAGAAACAAAAATCTGAAGCAACCCACCATTTGCCTGTGGGTTATAAGCCACAACATATCTTGATTGCATACGAGAAATAAATATAACTTTATCTCTTTATGAGATACGTGGCAATTATCTCATTACAGACTGACTAAACAATAGATCTTTCCTCCAGAAAAATAAATCTATTTTGAAACGGTATGGATGCTATACTGGAATGATCCATCTATATCCGAAAAGTACTGAAAAACTAAGTTATTCAAAGTTAAGAAAAACTCCAGCCTTCTTCTGGAAATAATTCAAGATGTAAATATTTTTTCCCTTTTCACAATCGTACGGAATTATGTACAGAATTATGTTTCTAAAATTAGAATCAAATAATGCCAGAGGGAACACCACTAAATGGTGTGCATATATTATCAGGCAAAAAAGAAAAAAACCACACACTTTATTGTAGTACTTAAAATATATTCATTTAAAGCATACTGGTTATTCATATATGAATGAAGACAAAATAATCAATATAAGGAGAGATAATTCAGTTCTAAAGCTTTTTGTGAGCTCTGTTCATGGCCACCTCTTGCTTTGTTTGACTACAAATTTAAGCAAGTGTTTTGTAATGCTATTAACATTTTTCAACTATACAGTGATCTTTTCTTTAAG